AAATTTTTCCTAAGCATTCTTTTTTTTCCTTTTTTTTTTCTTTTTTTTTTTTTCTTTTAAATTTCTATGTGAATTTCTTTTCTTTTTTTTTTTTAATATCATATACTAAACGTAAGTTATATTAATTATTTAAATAACATTAAAGTATAATAATATGTAATAATATATAATAATAATAATCGTATAACATTACTATTATATTTAATAATAATAATAATTATTAAAATACTTATAATATTTCAGTATGTACTTTTATACTATAATATTCATTTAAATAATAATAGCATTTTATATATAATGTATATATATACATATATATATATGTGTGTGTGTGTGTGTGCGTGTGCATGTATGTATGTATATATGTATGTATGTATGTAAATATTTAAATGTAGTAATAATATACTATATACTATTATCCTATAATATAATACAAAATTCCATTATTTATACCAGTATATTTATTATTTATATTAATTTTTTTATTATTATACGCAAGTATAATAAATAATATCATAGTCTTTCAAATGAAATTATTTGTTTTAGAGTGAGGGTTAAAAAAAAATTGCAGTCTATTGTGTCTAGTTAAAAAAAAAAAAAAAAAAAAAAAAAAAAAAAAAGAGGGAGAGAGACAGAGAGAGAGAGAGAGAGAGAGAAAAGATTGATTACATCATAGAGAATATTAATATTAAATCATTGTCAAATGATAATTAATCCATAATCAACCGTAATTATTAATCGAAAGTGGAAACCACGTTTGAAATTTCTTTTGCTCGTAGAAACAAATCAATGACAATATCGCATATCACTTTGTTGTTGAATTGTAAAAGTAGTTAGAAGTATGATATATCTATGATGATACATGATACTCATCGTCATACCGTCGTGTCGGACATGGAAACAATCGTATTGCGATTCGATAATCATTGTTCTCAATCAACAATCGATTATCAACGGATAATACGTAAGATTTTCAATGATTTTATTGTCGCATTAGAAAACACATCGTCAAATATATTTCATTGGAGTTTTTAATCGATAAAATAAAATAAAATAAAATAAAATAAAACCGACAAGATAATTTGAACAAGTTAAGATAAGTCTAAATTTTGTTAAAAAGAGATGAGAATAAAAAAAAAAAAAAAAAAAAAAAAAAAGAAAAAAGAAACCATGCAATCTTTTGAACGATCAAAATGAAAAAGCGATTAATCGTTAGGCGACTCAATAAAAAAAAAAAAGAAAAAAAAAAAGAAAAAAAAATCGAAAAACAAATTTTTAATTAAATATAAAATACAAGAAAAATATTATTAGGCGACTGTATAAACACATGTACAAAAAAATAAATCATGTTTATAAGGAGAGAGAGAGAGAGAGAAAAAGAAGAAGGAAAAAGAAATGAAGTAAACAATGGAAATAAGATTTTTCAGTATGAATTAAATATAACAAATATTTCGTCGTTAAGCGAAAAATTATTAAAAAAAAAAAAAAAAAAAAAAAAAAAAAAAAAAATGTTTCTCGTGTAAATAAATGAATAAAAGATTCGTAAGATAACTTGATAGAAAAAAAAAATAAAAAGAGCGAGAAAAAAATAAGGATTTTGCTTGCAAATAAATAAAATATGAATACATATATATATAAATAGAATACAAAAAAAAAAAATAAATAAATAGACAAACAAATTCGATCGAACGAGATTGAAAGTAAATGAAAAGAAAAAAAAAACAAAAAAAAAAGAAGAAGAAGAAAACAGTCAATGGGGGTGGTGGTCGGTGGTAGGGCGGGGGGCGGTAGGGGGGAGGGGGTTAGCCAAGAAGAAAGGAGGTTAAACGACACAATATTTTCTAGCTGCACTAGAAAAATGTAGCACCGCCATTAAGCGATCATTTATTTCATTTATTTTTCGACGGCTTAATTACCGGCGCGGCGGAACGTTAAATGCCGACACTTAATTGCACCGTAATTATAAAGTAATTTACCGTTCGGCCGCGTGCTAAAAATGTTTCGTATATAATACTACGTACGTGTGTAGGAAATACTATTACAATAATGATATACTACCTACGCGCCTTGATATTCGATTGATAATGAAAACTCATCGACGATGTTATTAAATTGGTCTTTTCGTAAATAATAATTCGCCTATAAAAAAAAAAAAAAAAAAAATCGTCTATAAAAAAAAAAAAAAAGAATTGTGCAGATGATTATTATTATTATCAACGCGAAAGAAGAATTGACGTGCGAATTTTACGCGCTAAATATGTCTCCCGTGATGAAATTTTTTTTAAATATCGAATTGTTATTAAATAAAGAGAGAAATTTAATGGAAATTAACAATAAGAAGAAAAAGAAAATTAATAAATGAATAAATAAATAAAAAAAAGACAATATATTTACTTTTAAAATCGCTCCACAGTTTTTTTTTGTTTTTTTTATGTGTATGTATATATATATATATATATATATATGTATATGTATATATATATATACATGTATGTATATGTATATATATATATATATATATATATATATACATGTTATACTTATGTATACCTGAGCGTATAAATAAATTGTTAAAATAATTACAATAGAAATATTATAATTAATTGTAATTGAAATTATGACATTATATAATAAAATTATTAAAAATATAATATTATATTCTATTATAATTGTTAATTATAGTGGAAAAT